CATCTCTTGCCGGCGGCATTGAGACTCAGTAGTTGAGTCAGAGCAGGGCTCCGAATTTGTACTCGACAGTCAGATGTGATAAAGCAGTGCAGGGGCGACACTCGCCCATTATGCGGGGGTGGAGGGCTTTTTCTCCCGCATCAGCGGAGAATATGCTTTTTCCTGTCCAGCATTTCTTGTCGTCTACGAGCCCTGTACCGTTTATTTAATGTTTTGATCGAAAGCGACTGTAAGAAACGAATGATTATGAGCCTCATTAAACTAACCGTGCCAGCAACGTGTCTGTCTCTTTCCGTACATCTGAAATGTTTTTTATCACAGTATTACGCTTTTCAAAACAATTTTTTGAACGTATCATTTCGGTTCTCAGACCTTTCCAAAACTCGTGATGATTCTAGTTATAAATTATAGTGTTTAAATCTAACCCTCTGATTTTGTTTCTGCGTGTTTGTTGATTTGTTTGCGCATTACAGCAGCATTTTTGAGATGCCCTTTTATTGGCATTGCGTATTTAACGTTATCGTTTAGAACATTCCTCAAGGAACTGGACAGTTGTATTGATGACTACGAAGTCGCTGCAAGAACTTTTGTCAAATACGTAAGCAGCCATTTTTCATGTTTTTTTCTTAGCCATATTAAGTGTATTTACTTTAAGTTCTTCACATTCTACTGTATACTGTTCCTTGAATGAAAGTGAATTACTTATGGCTTCTTACCCTTATTTAAGTTGTGCGTATTCTTCGTCAGTAGTAGTCGTCGTTATAGAGATCAGGGTTGCTCAGTCGGTTGAGTGTCGAATTGAGAACTGAGAAGTCCTGGATTGTTTATCTCGCTCTCTTGGTCACCGGCCATTCTTCTTTCCTAGAGCAATAAATGAGTACTCTGTGAGAAAGAAAACAGTACAGTATACACTATGATTGCGCATAGCTACTTTAAAGCAAGGTATTTTTGGCTTATCAGCACCCCTGCGTTGATTTCATGAAAGGAATAGTGCCAAAGGTGTAAGGAGGACCGACATTGCAACCGTTACAAACATTCCTCTCTATTTTGCTCGTATAATGTTCGTTTCTCGTACCCTGGTCATTGCCGGCTGCTCCTTCAAGCAAAAACGAGGTTTCAGGATTCGAAGAACATTTTCAGGAAAATTTTTGCTATTTGAGCAGTTGCAAACGCATATCCTTGCACTGCACCCAATGTATTATTCAAACATGTTGAACATTATTTTGTTTTTCTATGATTCTGAGGGTGTCGAATACATTACTGCATTTGAACTTGATGCTGAGACGCTCCAGCTCCAACTGCGTTCACCTCCTTGCATTGCGCTTCAGCGCACGTGCATGTCTTTTCTGGGCGTAAGAGGTTCTGCACCTCGCTGTGTATATTGAATTTCCTTTGGTCAAGGCTGATGTCACGAGCTTACCAAAAATTACTAATTGTGATCCTGATCAGTGACTTCTGGTAGCGATGTAAATAAGAAACAATTCTATTCTCGTGTGAGAATGTTTGTAAATGTCAGCGGAGCATAGTCACTGTGCATAATTGTAATCTGTGATTCCATTGGTTCTGTGACCCCTTTTCGACGGTCATCTTTTTTTATTCTCTTTAGCATGAAACCTGTGGGCATATCAGTTGTTCTCGTGTTAATGCGCCCTACAGTTGCCGTGTAGTGGCTCACCTGTTTCAAAGGTCTTTTTTGCAGGAGCGCCGCCTTCACATGTACGTGGTGTACTGTCAGAACAAACCGAAGTCCGAATATCTGGTGTCTGAATACGAAACGTTTTTCAATGTAGCCGTTTGACGCCTCTCCTCGTGGTAGTACGGTAATTTATAAGTTTTTTGTTTAGGAGATCAAACAGAAGTTGGGACACAAGTTGACGTTGGCCGATCTACTTATCAAGCCAGTTCAGCGTATCATGAAGTATCAGCTCTTACTTAAGGTACTTGACTAATGTTAATCGTTATCATTTTTCATGGGGTCGTGTGTTGAATAATCTGAACTATTTTCCTAATACTCTGACTAATAGGCGCAACATCTGACAGTTCGGTCTGTCGAGTGACGTAATTCATCTGTTCATTATAGATACATAGGGAATGGAAGAAGTAGAAGAAGAAATATAATTCCAGACAAGCATAATTAAACATATAAACAAAATGAAATCCATAAATAAATCCATATGAACAAAAGTAAACAGGCATGTTCATTGCTGTCTGGTTGTGTATCGAGTAAAGTGAGATGATGGATTTAATTTAGCTTTAGAAGCTGTCTTGCGGAAGAATTTTTGACCTTTTCCATCCTTATTTTTCATGAAAGACAGGAAGATGTTTTTCCTCTATGTTATCTACCTTTGGACAAAGCAATCTGTTCCAAAGCTCGCGACTGGGGATGACACTCATGTTGGTGTGAAGCACATGTGTGCTGATAGGGCGGACACTGTAATGCGCTGCAGATGCTCAGATGAGACACTCAGACACCCCCCTGGCCGAGTAGCTTATTCAACCTTTAGAAGCAAATGTCCAACACGACTTGGTCAAGTTTGGTAATTTTTATGAGTTATGTTGTGTGGCACGGTGTTGGTACAAACTAAGCTTGGTAAAAACAGTTTTTTGCGCTATACGTTTATCCCCTAAAAATGGCGACTCATGAACAAGATTGACGGGAAATTTATTGGAGCAATGCTTGATGAGTTAAATGAAGAATGGAAGAAAATATTATCCTTCGCGACTTGAATGTTGGAGATATAGGTTGGTAATATTGTCCATGGTTTCGTATCACGTGGTCTTCGCTCTATGCAGGGAATGGCTATTGTCATGACATAGAAACTTTTCACTGGTTTTAAATATTTATTGTTTTTCCGGTACTACATGGCATAATCACTTCGTTGTTTTGCTTCTAGATTCATATGCCAGGTGAGCATTCAAGCAGACCTTCACTCGTCCATGTTACAATAGTTGTTGTGTATAGCGTCGGTTCCACTGTTAATATGTACTGTATTCAGTTTACGTGCTATAAGGCTGCGGAGCCCTGATAAGCTTAAAGAGTCTCTTGGCTTTTTGTGGGTTGCGAGTAAGCCGTTTAAGCTCAGAAAATTGGCATTTGCTGTAATTTTCGTTAGTATACGCCTATTTCATCAAGGCTAGTGTAGCTTTATGCGAGTCTTTTGTTATTACGCTTCGCATGTGTGATCGACATACTTTCACGGCCATGTTTAGGATATCCTTAAATATACAGAACGCGCTGGCGAGGATACGACCATGCTACAGAAGGCACTGCACGTGATGCACGTTGTTCCGAAGGCGTGCGACAATATGATGCACGTAGGTCGCCTCCAAGGATTCGATGGTAAGGTCACAGCTCAGGGGAAGCTGCTCCACCAGGTATGCGTTACTCTCGAGGAAGTGTTTATCGTTGATTTTCTTTGTGCTTTCTATATAACCTCAATGTGCCTTTTTTTCGTGTTCAGGGAACGCTTCTGATTTCTGATAACCCCTCGCCGATGCAGTTCAAACCAAAGGAAAGGCGGATGTTTCTGTTTGAACAGTCGATAATCATCGCTGACTGCATCCAGCCAAAGAAGGACTTCGCCACTCCGAACTACATCTACAAGACTCACATCATGGTAATGAAGTTCTTTCTCCTAATCTAGCATTATCATCCTTTCTTGCACGTCTCCTGCCGCCGCTGCTGCAAAGAGTCACTGTTGTCTTGATGATGCACTTTCAGGTGAACAAACTGGCACTGGAACCGGACGTGCCGAGCGAGCCGTTGCGCTTCGTGTTGAAAAACAAGGACCCGTCGACGAACGCGTCAGACGTCGTGCTGCAAGCCAGCTCAGAAGACGAGAAGTCGCAATGGATCACGTGTATAAAACAGGTGTTGGATTCTCAGATGAACTTTCTGAAAGCTCTGCAGCACCCAATCGCCTACCAGAAGGGACTTAGTAAGGACTAGGATGGCTGCCGCTGGGTATGCCCTGTCATGCGGGACGGGATGCATGGCTGTTGCCGTTCGTTCGCTCACTCGCTCACGAGTTTTCAGCATTTTCCACCGCCGTACTGACATGCACACACTGTCGAATGCGCTGCTGCTTCTTCTGTTCTACTACTGTTCTACCCGTCTAAAGTTAAGTTATTGGTATTATTTACACCTCTTCTCAACTGTGAACCGTTTATAGTCTACCCTGCTGCCCAGACTTTGTTCTGAAATCAGGTTATGTCGATTGCCCCTGTAAATTTCGTGCTTGTTTTAAAGCAGTTGATTGCGCTAACTTATTATACAGATTTTCAATCAAATAAATTTTGCAAATCTGTCATGCCGTTGAGTGGTCCTTGTAGTGCGATGTGTTACGTCGTCGTCTTTACCGTAAAATCTTGTCTGAAACGCTGTGTGCCAATGGTTATTTACATTTTAAGTTTGACTGTTGATTTTCACCTTTGTTCATTACCGACGGTGTGAAACAGTGGCAAGCTAAAGTGTAGTATGACGCAAAAACGAATTGCTTGGAACAACGCTGTACAAAGGGCGAAGTTCACAATCACTACTGAACCTGAAGAAGTGTTTCACGTTGCAGAGAGACCCTCACTTACGTCAATTATCTTGAAAGTGCTACTGAAAATATTTTACTTGAAGCTCTTGTACTACCCAAAACTCCGCAAGGCAGACAGTGAGTCCGTCTGCAATTCGACATACGTACGGCTTCCTCATTCTCGATTTAATTCCTACTGAACATGGGTGTGCTGTGAATGCAACTGAATAATTTTTCATGTTTCAATGCTCTATAGCAGAGCATAGTTATGACTAGCACAATGTGCAGAATTTGAAAAAATGAACCCATGCGTAATTATACCAAATTGAGCTAGAGGTGAAATCGAAACAGAAATGCGAAGATGTCATAGACTTGACGGCCGCAGGACATTTTCTTAATTTCTCCCTATTAACGGTAAACACAACCGCAAAAAAAGGCTCCGCTTATGAAAAGGTGTGAACGTTATATCGAAAAATTGACTGACCAGCAAGGGTTGGCACATTGGATGAATGAATTGGTTGCAAGCAGCATAAGTTCATGAAGCTCAGGC